ACGGAGCTGTTGGCTTTGACATTACGTTTTAGCACTGGAGTTGTCTTCCCTGCAGACGTTCATACAGCGTCTTTGGCCGACAGGGATATTGGCTCGCTAATTTTGATATCTCACAAAGGTGGCTGGAGTGTAGGTGATACGACTGGCCAGCAGAAGAAGGGGCGCCTGTTTACAAAACACGCACGGATGGCGTCGAAAAAGTCGCAGTACTGGTCAACGAAAGAGCTACTTCGGCAAATCGACTGAGTGCAAGGCGGATATCAAGGCTGCTGTGACGTGGAACAGAGATAAGCAGAGATTCATGGTGCGCGTTACTGGCTACAGCATCAGCCATAATCATCGCGTCGACCGAGCTGTGTACGAGAACCATTCGTCGGTGCGGCGAGTCGAGGATCCAATGCTACTTGCGTTCGTGGACGTGTTGCAAGCGTCGGGTTCGAAACCCAAGCGGATCATGCAGTTTCCGCGCGAGAAGACGGGTACGTATACATGACTTTCGTCTAGCTTTAGCTTCTATTTCTGATGAATCCGTTTATAGGTCAGAACGTGACGCTCCGTGACGTCCACAACATGGTTGCCAGAATGAGAGAGAAGCGGCGCGGTTCCAGAGCCGTAGAGCAGCGACTTGAATCTCTAATGCGGGAATTTTGTGGACGGCGGGGTAACCGAGCTTCTGTGTTTGTTGATGACGAATCTTTGGCGCAGACAATCACGCTGCAGACGCGCCAGATGCGTCGCTGGTTCAAGGCTTTTCCGGAGGTGCTGTTGATCGACGAGACGCACAACACGAGCGACTCGAGGTACAAGCTATTCTCGTTCATGATACATGATGTGTACGGCCATGTAAGTCTACGTGTCTAGAGGTACCTGTTGGTGACTATAGACACGTAATGCAAGAGTTACCCTCAGATGTACCTGTAGGTACCGAAAGGTACTAATGTTACCGTTTGCGTGCCTAGGGTCAGTATGTGCAGCACAGCGTAATGGAAAATGAGAGTGCGGAGTGTCTTACCGATGCGATCGAATCTTTCAAGTTTTCAAATCCGTCGTGGGAGGAGATTCGTGTCATCGTGATCGACAAAGATATGGGTGAGCTGAGCCTTTTGGAGGCGCACTTTTCAAACGTTAAAGTGATTCTCTGTCACTTCCATCTCAAGAAATACATCCGGTCGGCGATGTCAAAGAGTGAGTACGGAGGGCCAAGCAGCTTCGACATGGATCAAGTAGAAGACGCAGTGGATATGATGAGAACAGCAACCACAAGTGAAGATTACACAAGGTATCTCAAGTACCTGTATTTCCTCTTGGATAACGTTCAGTTACGCTCTACGGACGCGATCCCAGACCCAACGCACCCGTTTCTCCGTTATTTTATGAAGAATTGGGACCAACAGAAGGAGCGTTGGGCTCTCTACGCCCGTTCAGACGTACCGCATCTTGGAAACCACACAAATAACCGGTAAGAATTTATGGAGTTAAGGCTTCTGCATTTAATTTGACGCTAACGTTTGTGTGTTATGCGATAGCTTGGAGGCATCGTGGGGGCATCTTAAGGAAATCCTGAAACCTTGACCCATCGTGCCAACTTTGCGTTCGTAGTATGGTTTCCAGGACTGAAGTTCCAGGCGAGTGCCAAATGATCCGTGTACAAGTCGAGCTCTCGCTTGTCCAAGTAACAGCGAAAATTGCTTGTCGAACATACCCCCCCCTACACTCGATCTCCAAGATCCCATCTTGCTTGATCCAGTTTTTAGGGACCCTGTCAACAATTTACTAGCGTACGCCACTACACGGTCTCGACCGTCTACTTCCAGCATCAGACAGGCTCCGACAGTGTATCGGTACGAGTCCACGTAAAGTTTGAAACGTCTCTTGACATCCGAGTAGGCTAGAATCGGAGGCTTTATCAACTCTCGCTTGAGCTGGTGGAAGGCCGCCTCACAGTCATCATTCCACGCAAATAGCACATCTTTCACCTTCAACCGTTCCAGGGGCGCCCAAATCGAGGCGTATCCCGGAATATAACGACGGAAATAGCTCATCAGTCCCAAGAACGATCGGATCGCAGGTAGGTCTTGCGGGCGCCTCACGTTCATCA